GAGTAGCGTTTGCCTTATGTTTTTCTTAAAAGCCGTTTCAATGGCTTTTTGTTAGGTCATATCCAACTGACCTTGTTATGATCAGGCGCGCATGCAGTTTCTTGGCGCACCTAAGTGTTTCAGAAATCTGTCATTTCTTTACAATGACCATGTAAACCATATCGAGTTATAATGGGGCGAGAATGACACAGAGTGAGAAGAACGACACACAAAACATACTTACGAATTCATTCAGTTGTCCTCGTATTGTGGTAATCCATAGTCATTTCAAGTGACGTCATCATGTTACCGGAAGTACTCTGGTGGTCATACTGACAGGTCATGTCGGCTGCCTTACTGTACCCATGGAACTGTACCGTTGTTGGGGGAAGCGCCCTCCCCATTTTCACGGTCGAGCCCAATTTTAAGATTTTCGACAATATTAGGTTTATTTGCGACTTTGGGGGAACCTTGGTTAAGGTCCAAAGGTGCTTGTGTTCGACCGAGCCTGGTTGACGCCAGGACAGCGCATTAAATTGCCATTTGATAGGAAGATGGTCGCACAGCCCCGTCATGTAGTACCAAACATGAATATGACTTAGTGTGGCAAAATTGCACTATGTGTCAGCACTAGCACTTGCAATTTGCACATACAAAAAATAGTCAGGAGAGACAACAGTGACATTCAATGTCCGGAACTGTCGCCTGGCACAAAAAACATTTAAAAAAAAAAAAAAAAAAGGTTTATTTTTTTTTTGGCGAAAAACGCTAATTTAGAGAGCCAAAAAGCGCTCTCAACGTCGATCTTTTGTGGTCCATGGTTTTCAACAGGTTACAGAGCACTTCAATTCAAAATCAGCGCAGGGAGTACCTTCCATGGTTGAAGTAACTTATTTGAATTTGGTTATACACAATAAAAACGAGAAAGAAATTATAAAAACTTACTTAAAATAGTTGACGAAATTAATAACCCGTACTATTATTGCTATGATGAAAAAAGTAATAAATAAATCAAGTGTGA